TTATTACATCCAAGGAAATAGTTCTGTAGTATTCTCTGATGTCTTACCTGTGCTCAGATTTCCCTCATTGACTGAAGACTGTCTTTAAAATAATTTTTGTTGAACCATGATCAGTCAAGGTTTACACAGTTCATTTATTAATAGTGTGTTTTTGACATACATGAAATTAATGATGAAATCCTTTGAAGTTTCTACCTCATATTGCTCTTGGAGATTGCTCTATTACCAGAGAGATACCATGCTTTGAGCCTTAACAATGGAAGGGACCCTGGAGGTAATTTGGTGCAATGATTACTGTACTTTGCTGATCATTAGTGAGGGGAATTTTCCAAATTGGGAAATTTAAAAATATGGAGTTTTGTTCTTATTCCTGACTTTCTGATCTTTTAAGGGAGAGTTCCATTTACCCTCTGCCCCCAACACACACACACACACATACACACACACACACACCTTTTTTTTTCTTTCACTTAAAATTTTGCTCATGAGTGTAAACATAGCCTGGTACAGTGGTCCATGGACCTATATGGAGACAACTGGTTTAGAGCAACCCCTGGTCAGGCAGTGTTGTACAGTTAGCAAATGTCAGAGCCAGGACTAGAAGCAGGGCTTCCCATGTTCATTCCTCCCCCGCCCCCAAGTGTTTGAGTTCTCTTTGTTGAACATACACATTAGATAATTACTTTGCAATATGATGACTGTACAATTTTTAAAATAAATGAATAAATGAACAAAAACCTCTCAGAAAACCACCCATCAAAGCATTTAAGCTATGATGCCTGTGGTTTGATATGAGTCCTAAAGGTTGAATTGGAAGTTTGCCTGTAGATACAAAATGAAAGGGGCATTCCAAGGAAGGGGAGCTCTGTGTGTGTGTCTGTGTGTAAAATATATTTTGAAAATACATATTTATGTATATAAGGTATTTCGCAGTTTGCTTCACTAAAAGTAAGTATTCAACAAATAGTGTGCCTTCTTCTTACTATTTCTTTATGATTGCAGTAGAGAGTATGTCGAAGTAGTGGGAGTTAGGAACATCATATTAAGGGAAGAATATTAAGTACTCTGTTTATATTATATTAGACTTTAGCTTATAGGCTGTGGCAAATTTTGCATGGATGCATGATCCAATTTGAGATTTAGAGAGAAAATTCTGGTAACATATAGACTTGGAAGCAGGGAGGATGATTTTAAGAAATAATGTGTTTGAGTATAGTGTCACAGCAAATTTTTTTGTCACCAAAATGATGTTTCTTATTTCTAGTTTTTTTAAGTGGTCAGTTTATTGATGATGATGATGATGATTGGGTATGGGGACTGAACCTAGGGGTGTTTGCCACTGAGCTACATTATTAGCCCTTGTGTTTTTTTTTAATTTTTAGACAGGGTCTCACCAAGTTGATGAGGTTGGCCTTGAACTTGTGACTCTCCTGCCTCAGTTTCCCCAGTTGCTGGAATTACAGGCATGTGCCACTGTACCCAGCTGAGGGAAAATTCTTTTATGTAAAAACAGACTCCCTTATTTAAGTAACCAAATTTTAGGCCAAAAAAGGATTTAAGCCATTTTATCAGTTTGTTAAATTGGAATTAGACACTATGGCATAATATTGTTCTTTTCCTGTTAGAGTCATTTTTTTCACCATCAGCTTATTTATTATTATTTTTTTTAAGAGAGAGATAGAGAGAGAGAGAATTTTTAAATATTTTTTAGTTTTTGGCAGACACAACATCTTTGTTTTTGTATATGGTGCTGAGGATCGAACCCAGGCCGCACGCATGCCAGGCGAGCGCGCTACCGCTTGAGCCACATTCCCAGCCCTTATTTATTATTTTTAATTGACAAATCGTACTTGTACATGTAAATTGTTAGTTTAAAAAGCTTAGTGATAAAGTAGACTTTATTTCTGTCATAGAATAAGGCATGTATTGCATTTCACTCTGTGAAAATTTTAATAGACTTAGTCATTCAATATCTACTTTATGTCAGGTACTGTGGGAGGCTCTGGGAAAATATGTGAGTAGTAATGGAGTTGGACTATTCTCCATGGAGAGGTAGGTGTTAAATAATAAAATTAAGAATGAAATAATAGAAGGGGAGTCCATCTTCTCATGGAATCAGAGGTCATGGAAATCAGTATCTTCTTTCACTTGGATAATTTCAGTAGTCTCTTAACTGGTCTTTCTCTTTCCACTCTTCCCCCTAGAGTCTTTTCTTCCCACAACAGCCAAAGGGATTATTTTAAATGTAAGTGCTCTGCTCAGAACCTTATGACTCCTTACTTTAGTCAGTAAAAACCAGAGTTCTCACAGTGGCCTGCAAGGCTCTGTAATGATGTGTGACCTCTCTGATCTCATCATTTTCTTCTACTTTTTCCTCTCATTGACTCATCTCAGCCACACTGGCTTCCCTGTTGTTCCTTGCCTAACCAGGCACTATGACCTTAGGGCTCTTGCCCTGGCATTTATTCTCTGCAGATCTTGATAGGATTAACTCCCTCCTTACCTTCAGGTCTTGGCTTAGGTATTATTTTCTCAATGTGACCTTCCTTGGCTGCCAGTTTGGCATTTCATCTGTCCACTCTACCACTATACATCCAGTCCCCCTTACTCTGCTCTGTCCCTGCCCTGCTCCCATCCCAGTGGCATTAATCACCTGCTCACATGATCTATAATTTATTATGTTTTCTCTCTTTCTCCTTCTTAATAAGTTCCTTAAAGCCAGTGCTTTATGTCTGTTCATTGATGAACCTTAAGTGCCGAGAACAGTTCCTGAAATATAGTAGGCACCCTGAATAAATGTTGAGTGAATGAATGTTAAGAGAAAACTGGTATTTGCCGAAAATGGACTTCTCAGCTGTCATTTACATATGAGTGAAAGTTAATTAGGTGAGCTGGGGATGGAAGGGTATCAAACAGATAGCATGGGTTTTAGATGGGGTGATTTGGCAATTATGAGGCACTAAGAGAAACCAGTGTTACTAACTAGAGGAAAGAGAAAATTTATTATGAGGAAGGACAAAACTCTGGAGTTTTTGTCTTTATGTTAAGTTAGATGAGAAGACAATTAAATGTTTTAAGCAGGAGGAAGATAACCAGATTTGTTCTATTTTATAAAAAGTCATTCCAGCTGCAGTATGGAGGACTGATTGATGAGGGCAGCAGTGCACATAGAGAGGTAAGTTGGGAGGCTATTGTAATAGGACAGATGAGAGAGACTAGTACTCAGGTCATGGTGGTGGTGGAGATGGACAGAAATTAAATTAGACTCCAGAAATATTTAGGATGTATCAGGTGGTAGATTGGATGTGAGAGTTGAGAGAGAAATAGCAAGGAAGATGCCTGGGTTTCTAGCTTGTGTAACTGAGTGAATGGTGGTTCATTCATTGTAGAGAAGCCGGAGTAGGGTCATGTTTGGAAGAGAATTGAACTCAGGTTTAGACACATTGATTTTAAGATGATTTTGAGACAGACAAGATGTCAAACAGGCAGTTGAATGTATGAATCTGGGACTGGGAGTTTAAAGTTACAAACCATTGAGAAACAGTGGAGGGGAGGAGTCACCAAATAATCTACATTTTTTTAGTAATTAAAAGTTGTTAAAAAAAAGATACTTCTGAGGGCAGTTATAAAATAAAGTCTCTTGAAAAATTCACACTATCTTTTACTTTGATTTTTAATGTAAATTTTTCACACAAATTGGGGTGCTTGCTAATTTTTTTCTTTTTTTTTTGTGATCTACAATTCAGTAGGTAAGTATTCCCTGAGATTAAATATGTAAAATGTTTTTTAAAAAAGTCCTTAGATCTCTGAATAATTAATGTTGTTAGATTTTAAGACCTATAAAACATTCACATTGGGAGTGCTTAGAAACTAGGTTTATACCTAACTCAAGAAGAAAACTGTGTTCTTCAGATTGTGCCGGCAAGGTTTGATTCAGCAGTAATCATCAAGGTCATTGCAGACTGCTGTCTTCTCTTTCCAAGTGCTTACAGTGTTCCTTTAGATAGGGGATATTTCTTTTCTTGTTCATGTTCTTCTACTGTCTTCATTATAGGCAAGACACTAACTGTCTCCCCATGAAATCTGAAATGAGAGAAATGCTGTGACACTATACCTGATGGATGCCAATAGAGTGTTATGGTCATGAGCACAGATTTTGGAATCACATGTGAACTTTAGTGGAAAGCCTGCTTTTCCCCTTGCTAACTGTGTGACCTTGGCAAGCTAACTATTCTCTAAACCTTTTCAATAATGTGAGGATAATAATAATAACTGACTAAGGAATACTCATGTAAAGAATATTTCTAAGAAGAGAGGAGTGGCCTGTAAAGAGCTTGGCTTCTGTAAACAACCTATAACTAATAGTCAGTGCTGGTGGTAGTAACAGTAGTAGTGGGAAGATATAGATTCTATTTTATCATAGTTTTTTTTTGGGGGGGGGGTGTATGGGGGGTTTTGAACTCAGGCACTCAACCACTGAGCCACATCCCCTGTCCATTTTTGTATTTAGAGACAGGGTCTCACTGGGTTGCTTGGTACCTCACATTTGTTGAGGCTGGCTTTGAACTCACGGTTCTCCTGCCTCAGCTGGCTGAGGTGCTGATCCCAGGCATGTGCCACACGCATGGCTTAGATTCTGTTTTGTTGTTTGATTAAATTTGTTTTGCTCTGGCTGTGTAGACCAGTATCTTGAATTATTTTTCTATTTTATTATTGCATTGATTTTTTGTAACAGGTTTTTAAAATTGTTTTTAGTTGTTGATGGACCTTTATTTATTTATTTGTATGTGGTTCGTAGTATCAAACCCAGTGCCTTACACATACTAGGCAAACATTCTACCATTGAGCAACAACCCCAGCCTTGTAACAGATTTTTAAATGATAAAATTATAATTTAATTTTAAAAAGTGTTAACTGGTTGTTGTACTAGCATGTAAATCCCCTGATGACGAAGACTAAGTTTTATTAATCTTTATTTCCCCCCTGTGCCTTGCCCATAGGAGACATTCTGTAAATATCCAGAACATGCTCTTGAGGAGCTTTTGCTGATTTAATGTTTGTGAAGGTCTCCTCTCATGCTAGACACATACTAATTCAAGGAAGACAGGAAATTTTGAGAGGTAAACACTGATTTGAAACCCAATCCTCTTCTACCTTTTCTCCTTGAGATACCTTAGCTACCTTCATGTTTTCAGGTATTGCTTTATTATTGAGAACCTTTATAATCTTTATCTCTGCCTTAAACCACTCTTTCAAATTTCAGTTGTCCTCTGTACATCCCCGTACTGCATGTCCTTCATTAATATCAACTATATCACTCCCCATCTAACTCTCCCATTCTCCCTCTTAATAGTTCCCCGCCCCACTTTTTCCCCCCCAATTAGAGCATTATAGTTATATATAGTAGTTGGGTTCATATTCAGAAAATCATACATGCATGGTGTTTGATTTATTCCATTTCAGTCCTTGTTCCTCCACTCCCTATTTTAATTAATGGTCTTTCACTAGCCTCTGGACACCTAACCAAGAAACCTAATGTCTTTTTAACTTCTTCCTGCCTATTGCTAACACCTCTTAATATATATATATTTTTTTTTTGAGAGAGAGAGAGAGAGAGAGAGAGAGAGAGAGAGAGAGAGAGAGAATTTTTTTAATATTTATTTATTTTTTTTAGTTTTCGGCTGACACAACATCTTTGTTTGTATGTGGTGCTGAGGATCGAACCCGGGCCGCATGCATGCCAGGCGAGCGAGCTACCGCTTGAGCCACATCCCCAGGCCCCTCTTAATATTTTTCTAAAGCATTTTCCTTAGTTTGTACAACTTGGTCTCAGTTTGCATTCTTATTTTCTCTACGTCCAGAACTATGGCAGGTGTCTCTTTAACATTCCTCTTCAGTTCCTCCTTGCTGCCACCAAAATTCTCTTCTGAATTATAGATCTGATCCTGTCACTTCCTTGCTTATAGACCTTGGTGGTTTCCTGTTGCTCAGAGCAAGCATCCACAAACTGTAACCCATGGGCAGCTCTGGCCTTCTACTATTTTTGTAAAGGCAGTCTTTATTAGAATACGCCACATTCATTTCTTCATGTTTCCCATATGGCTGCTTTCACACTATGACAGCAAAGTTGAATAGTTGTGACAGATTATATGGCCAACAAAAACCTAATGTGTAAACTATTTGGTTCTTTATAGAAAATGTTTGCCAAGCCCTGACTTAAGAGGATATAGTTCAGATTTGAGGAGGCTTCCAAACAGGTCATTGTCACTTTCCACAGTTAACTTAAAGTCCATCCTATTCTTCTGTGTCTATATAATTCCACATATTTTATTTTTTTGTTATCAGACAAACTCCTGTTCATGCTTCAAAACCCAGGTCAATTAGTTCTTTCCTTATCAAACTTTCTTCAACTCTTACTGGCAAGTAGTGTTCTCTAACCCCCCACCCCCAGAACTGGGGATCAAACCCAGGGCTCTTTACTGCTGAACTATGTCCCCAGCCCAATTTATTTTATTTCATTTCATTTTGGTACTGAGGATTGAACCCAGGGGTATTTTACCACTAAGCTACATTTTGAGCTCTTTCTGTATTTATTTCAAGAGAGTCTCACCAAGTTGCTAAGGGCCTTGCCAAACTGCCATCCTCCTGTCTCAGGTTCCTGAGTTACTGGGATTTAGGTATGCACTACCATGCCTGGCTCCTTTTTATTTTCTGTTTTGGGATATGGTCTTGCTAAATCCCTCAGGCTAGTTTGTAATCTTTCTGCCTCAGCTTCCTGAGTCACTGGTATTGCAGGAATGTACTACCATGCACCATGCCCTGCTAATAATTAAAAAATTTTTTCTATTATAGTAGTTTAAAAATTATAGCACATAGTATATGTCTATTATACCCATATTATAAGGCAATTATTTGCTATTCTGACAATGTCTCTGACTATTCTCTATGTGACTATCTTTTTAAAAAATATTTTTAAAGTTCTTGATGGACTTTTATTTTATTTATTTGTTTATATGCGGTGCTGAGAATTAAACCCAGTGCCTCACGCATGCTAGCAAGTGCTCCACCATGAGCCACAACTCTAATCCTACATTGACTATCTTACTCATTTTTTTATACTCAGTGCCTTACAATACTAGTATCATTGAACAACTAATGGTGAGAGATGAATGAACAAAGATATGGTATTAAAGAAGTCTGATTAAATAACATGAATTAGATATATTATTTGGGTTCTCATGCATAGAAGATTACTCAGATCATGTTTGTATATTAATGGTTATTTTTTCTTCTTACCTTTTGCAAGTTTCTTTTTTCCCCCTAAACTGAGTTTTTGAAAGTGGAATTCTGACAATTGAATCACTTAAAATGCCCTTTAAGAAGGACTTGTGTTTCCTTTAATAAAGTGTTGGCTCTCAGTAATAGGTATTGCAGGGCAGGCAGCACCTCATCAGGGTAATTTTTCCTGTTCAGTAGGGGATAAGCCACCTGAGAAAATAATGTCTGAAGTAATTAGGGAAGAAATAAAAGACAAAGTCAGAATTATAGATTTAAGGGAGTACCTGATAGGATCTTCCAGTCCATACAGGAGCTGGAACAGAGCAATTAGAAAATGGCTCCGGTGGCTTATTTAAGGGGGTACATCAAAGGCAGGGATAAGGTTTCAGGGGTGTAGTCTTGCTTCATGATGTATTGCAGTCAACAGGTTGGTTGGTATCTTGGCAGGCCACACCCATCTCTGAGAGGCTGTGTGGCTACAGCATGTCACCCTATCTGGGGTGCTGTGTGGGACCTGACAGAGCTGAATGGAAATTCACATGTATCTGGGTGGTCTTAACCAGCAGGATTGTCACTGGAGGTTCCCAGATACCAGGTTTTCCTATTCACTGGCTATGATGTGGGTTTGGTCCACACATAGCCCAAGATGGCTCTTGACAAATAGAAATAGTTACTGTCTAATGTATTATAAGACTTGAGTCAGCTTTCCATCACCTTGACAAAATAACCTGAGATAATCACTTAAGAAAGTTTTATTTTGACTCATAGTTTCAGAGATTCCAGTTCATGGTTGCTTGGCCCTGTTGCTTTGGGCCTGTGGCAGCAAAGTATATCATGGTGGTTGTGGGTAGTGGAGGAGGCTGTTCACTTCATGGTAGCCAGGAGACAAAAGAGAGACTGGAAGAGCTGGGGTTCCACTAACCCCTTCATGGGCATGCCCCTCCCAATGACCTAACTTCCTGTCACTGCCTCCTAAAAGTTTTACCACTTCCCAGTAGTGCTAAATTCTGGGGACCAAGTTTTCGACACATGGGCCTTTGGGCCTTTCAAGGTAGTTTGGATCTTTTTAAGATAGCAACCACTGATCCAGTTCAATAATTTCTTTTTTGATTGGTCAGAGTCAGTTTTGTGAGAGAGCATACAAAGAATTTCCTTGATCTATAAAAGTCTTTTTAAGTTTATAAAAAGCAATTGTAGATGTATTATGCCATACGGGAGGCTTCTGGGCAGGTTGCAGATGAGAAGAATCACCTAGTTCATTGTGTTAATTATGGTAACTTTTAAAAACTTTGTATTTTTGGGCTGGGGATGTGGCTCAAGCGGTAGCGCGCTCTCCTGGCATGCGTGCGGCCCGGGTTCGATCCTCAGCACCACATACCAACAAAGATGTTGTGTCTGCCGAGAACTAAAAAATAAATAAAAAAAAAATATTAAAAATTCTCTCTCTCTCCCTCTCTCTCCTCTCTCACTCTCTCTTTAAAAAACAAACAAACAAACAAACAACAAAAAAAAAACTTTGTATTTTTTAAAAAACATAATTCATTAGCCGGGTGCTCTGTCACACACCTATAATCTCAGCGGCTCTGGAGGCTGAGGCAGGAGGGTCACAAGTTCAAAGCCAGCCTCAGCAAAAACAAGGCCCCAAGCAACTCAGTAAGACCCTGTCTCTAAATAAAATACAAAATAGGGCTGGGGATGTGGCTCAGTGGCCGAGTGCCCCTGAATTCAATCCCTGGTACCCTCCCCTCCCCCAAAAAATATAATTCATGTTTAGCATAGCAAAGTTCAAAAATATGCAAATAAAAAGCAAAAGAAACACTGATCCTATCAGTCACTTATATAATAACATGAAAGTACTGGTGTTTATCCTTCCTTATTTTCCCAGTGTTTACACATATATATGTTTGTGTGTTTATATATAAATACTATTAATTTTTTTCCTAAAAAGAAAATAATGCAATAGATAGCTATATATTTCCTGCTTTTAGAACTACTTATAATAGATTCATATATTGAAAATGAATTTCATTTTTATGATCTTTTTCTCAATATCATTCATTACCACCCTTATATTATTAAATGTATTTTTAGTTGTAGTTGGATACAGTACCTTTATTAGACTTATTTATTTTTATGTGGTGCTGAGGATTGAACCCAGGGTCTGCTCGTGCGAGGGGAGCGGTCTACCACTGAGCTACAATCCCAGCCCCTAAATGTTATCTTTATTTTGTTTATTTTAATTGTAGTTGGACACAGTATCTTGATTTTATTTATTTATTTTTATGTGGTGTTAAGGATGGAACCCAGCGCCTTCACATGCTAGGCGAGCATTCTACTGTTGAGCCACAACCCCAGCCTCTTTTTTTTTTCTTAATATTTATTTAGTTGTAGAGGGACACACTATATCTTGTTTATTAATTTATTTTTTATGTGGTGCTGAGGATCAAACCAGTGCCTCATACATGCTAGGCAAGCACTCTGCTACTGATCTACAGTTCAGTCCCTTATTAAGTCTTTTCTAAAACAAATTTTAAGCCTACATTAAGTAAACTATTTAAATTTTTTTTTAAAATATTTTTTTAATTGTCAATGGACCTTTATTTTATTTACATGCGGTGCTGAGGATTGAACCCAGTGCCTCACACATTCTAGGCAAGTGTTCTACCACTGAGCCACAACCCTAGCCCTGAACATTTGATCTATTATTGAACATGTAAATTTTATTTAAGTACTCTTTGCTTTCATTAAGTTCCTAAGGTCTATTATTTTATACTAAATGTTGTATACATGTTTCTTCTTGAAGGCAGGGAACTAGGTTAGTATTGCCAGTTTTTCTTAAATCAAAACTGTGTCACAAAATAGGTTTTATCTTTTGGTAAGCATCAGTGATAAAACCCTCATGGAGGTTGATCTTCCCAGTTTAGAGTGTTGTTAGTACAGTAGCCTTTTCCCCTCCTAATTGCTTACTGTAGTGCCTAGGCTCTTTGTCTTAATCCTCTTCTCCTTGACGTTATTCAGTTAATTTCCCCTTTACACCCGATGAAACCCCAAATCCTTGATGAGATTCATATTAATCTTTAATGGAATCTGGTGCTTATCTTTCTCTAATTTTATTCCAAGCTACTTGCTCCACTAACTTACTTCACTTATCATGACTCTCTTTGGAATCAACTAATCCTTCCTTGCTAGAACCAGAGCTCTCCTTGTTTTGCATCTCCTTAATCTGATTAACTTTACTCAGCTTTCAAATTTCAGTAGGTTTTTAAGTTTTAGCAAATTTCAACTCTTCAGAAAGGCTCTCCTTGACCTCCCATTTTAAAATAGGTCTTCCTTTTATTCTCTCTGAGGATTCTGTGCCATTTCCTTCATAGCTATTTGCATAAGTTTGTTTTGCTGTTCCTTTGCCCCCCTCCATAAATGTCCATCCAGCTTAAGCCCTGGAGGGAGGAGGAGACTGTGGCTTATTTAATAAATCAGATGTGGAAATAGCTATATATTTCCTGCTTTTAGAACTATTTATAATAGGTTAATAAGAGAAAATGAATTTAACATTTTTTTTTTTTTTTTTTTTTTAGGTTTTGATAGACTTTTATTTTATTTATTCCTATGCCATGCTAAGAATCGAACCCAGTGCCTCACACATGCTGGGCAAGAGGTCTAGCACTGAACTAACTACAGCCCCAGCCCTTCATTTTGTTTTAACCTTCAGTTATTATCTTAAATTCAGGGTGACCTTCCTTGTACTTGCTTAGTCAGTTAATATTTAATTCTTTATTAACACTTCATTAATATGTCTGCAGAATATCTTGATCTCATGTATCCATAGTGCTTTTTGTTGTAACAGGTACTTAAAATATTGACTCATCAGCTTGAAATTGTGGAATCTTGATTTTGTACTTTGTCAGGATTTATCTGGAAATCCCAGAGTGTTTACTAATTCCCTCTCACTTGGTGGAGATTCAGACTCCAAAATGGAGTTTGTAGTGAGCAGTAGCTGGAATCTCCTTTTAGTTTTTTTAGCCATTTAGTGTTTTTTTTTTTTTTTTTGTAATTTCCTGTTGGATTCCTTGCAGGCTCCTCCGTGCATCTGCTGTTCAGGTGTTAGCTAGGAAGTAAAAGGAATTTATATTAAAGTATGTAGAGTTCTCTCTTCTGACCTGTTTCTTTCGAAGGTTTTGCCCGACTATTTCCTGCTGCTCTGGTGTACTCCATCCTCTGACATCTGAAGCCAATAAGATTGCCACTGCACCACAGTTAACTCCCTGGGCTAGGAGTGGGAGTCATGGCCTTCCTCAAGGGGAAAGTTATATAAAACTGTGTCCTACTCATTGTGTTTTCTTTCTGTCAAGGTCAAATCCCTGCTGGCACGCACCTAGAACCTCAGCTATTTGAGAAGCTGAGGCAGGAGAATGATAAGTTTGAGGCCATCTTGGGGAACTTGGCAAGACCCTGTCTAAAAATAAAAAATTCTAAGGAATGGGGGTGTTGCTCAGTGGTAACACCCCTGGGTTCAAGCTCTATTACAATTTTTTTTTCTTTTTAGAATTTTTGGTGGCTCTGAATCACCTATTTGAATATAATCTGTTTTTAAAATTCCCACAGTATGTTACGCTCTAATGATACTATTCATATTATCTCTTTCCTTTGTTATCTATTGCATTGTAAATTAACTCTGAAATCTATGGGCTTAAAGCAGACATTTTGTTATGCTTCTCAGATTCTTTGGGTCAGGAATCTGGGAAGATCATAGCCAAGATGATTATGCATCCATTTGCTGTAACTGGCAGCTCATCTGGGAAGGCTCAGAGTTTGGGTGATGCTATAGCTAGGATACCTGAAGGCGTCTTACACATTAAGGCAGTCCATGTTAGCTGTTGTCTGAGACTTCAGCTGGAACTGTTGGCCAGCACACCTACACCTGGTCTCAACTGCAGCATAGGAGCCTTGAAGGTTGTACACAATGACTCAGGGCTCTCACACTGGTGTTCCAGAGAATCATGTAGAAGCTGGAGTGCTTTCTGTATCTAATCTTGGAAGTTACAGTGGCAGAAGGTACTTAGCATCACTTCCTTTATTTGGTTAACTGGCCCCTCACCCCCATACTTGACATTTAACCCAGGGCCATACTACATTCTAGGCAAGTGCTCTATCACTGAGCACTTAGTCCTGTTTATTTATTTAGTTTGGTACTGAACCCAGGAGTACTTAACCACTGAGTCACATCCCTTGCCCACTTTTTAAAATTTTTTATTTTGAGGCAGGGACTCAATAAGTTCTTCTAGGCTTTGCCAAGTTGCTGAGGCTAGTTTTGAACTTGATATCCTCCTGCCTCAGCCTCTAGAGTTGCTAGGATGCAGGTATATGCCACCATGCCTGGCCCTTTGCCCTTTTTATTTTTAATTTAAAGACATGGTCTTGCTAAGTTTCCCATCTTGGTTTACAATTTGTAATCCTCCTGCCTCACCCTCCCCAGTAGCTGAGATTATAGGTGTGTACCACTATGGCAGGCCTGGTCAACTGGTCTTTATTGTTTATATGCAGATTAAGGGGTGGGGCATAGATCTACCTCTCTATTGGAGAAGTGTCAGAAAATTTACAGATTTACTGATAGGTCAGGTGTTTTTTTTTTTTTTTTTTTTTTTTTTTGTGTGTGTGTGTGTGTGTGTGTGTTGGGATCAAACCTGAACCAATAGCCTTGCTTTATTTTTTGGTACTGGGGTTGAACCCAGGGGCACTCAATCACTGAGCTACATCCCCAGCCCATTTTTGTATTTTATTTAGAGACAGGGTCTCAATGAGTTTAGTAGGACCTCACCAAGTTGCTGAATGTGGCTTTCAACTCATGATCCTCCTGCCTAGTCTCTTGAGCTGCTGGGATTATAGGCATGTGTCAGGTGGCACCTTGAACTTCTTGAACTTGCATGATGATCTAGCTTTGAGCTGCTCCCCCACCCCTTACAGGGAGGTGTTAAAACATTAGTGCCATTTAGCAAATAGTGAGCTCCCCCTTGTGTTGAAGCACAATCCTATGTACATCTTAATGCACATCCTTTTGAAGTACTGATTTTTTTTCTTATTATAGTAGAATATGCTCTAAAGTCAATTTATGCTTAAAGCGTTAAGAAAGGAATAAGATATTTTACTTCTTAACATTTCCATAAGTTATTTTTTTTGTATGATACAGAATTTAATGAAAAACCCATGCTTGAAGACTAAGAATGGCAGGCTTCCTAGATAATTTCCGATGGCCAGAATGTGAATGTATTGACTGGAGTGAGAGAAGAAATGCCGTGGCTTCTGTAGTCGCAGGAATATTGGTAAGTGAGAGAGCCTGATTGGTGACATTTATGCTTCATGTTTTGCTCTGGAAATTAATGTTAGTTCCTTTGAACTGTAAGTACATTTCCAGAGCTATTTTATTTCATTGTTTGTAAAGCTAATTATCAGGATTCTAGATACTGTTACAGAGTGTGGTAGGCCCTAGGTCTATTTTACTTCATAAATTTGTTAAATTTAGGATCTTTTCTTCAGTTTTAGTATTAATACATGTATTATTATAGGCAGTAACATTTTTAACATAATGATACAATATATATGTTACCGTCCTCAGACTCAGAATTTGATGTAACCCAGTTGTTGGGATTTACAGACATCTGTAAAGTCCTCTGGCTACCAGACCTGAAACCCAGCGGCTGCTCTGGGGAAGCACTGGGTTCTCTGTTTACACCTCAGCTATAGTGCTGAGGGCTGGAAGAGGAAGACGTGTGTGGAGGAAACTATTGCTTAATTTTCTTTCTCTTCATTTTTTTTCTTTCTTTCTTTTTTTCTTTTTCTTTTTCTTTTTTTTTTAAACATTTTGTTATTGAAAATGTGAAGAATATAAGCAAAAATAGAGATGGTATAAAGAGCTTCCCACCCCTCCCCATATACCTATCATATATCTTCAAAAAACAAAACAGAAACAAATCACAACCAATCTTACTTTATAGTTTTATCAACCATGCCCTGCCTCCCAAGCATTTATTTTTGAAATAAATTTTAGTGTTTTACATTTTTAAGATTCATCTCTTTCATCATACGGTTCTTTCAAAGTCCATAAATATCCAAACCAGATCAAATCAATTAAGGTGGAGTAGAAACTAAAGATAATTGTGAGGAAATCTGCATGCAGAATTCTTTTAGATGTTTATAAGTTTTTGTACTGAGGTAGAGCCTAGAGGTGCGTTTTACCACTGACACTGAGCCACATCCTCAGTCTTTTTTTTTTTTTTTTAAGAGACTGTGTCTTGCTAAGTTGCTGAGCCTTTTCTCAAACCTTAACCTCAGATCCTCCTGCCTTAGCCTCCTTAATTGCTGGGATTACAGACATGCCACCATCCCAGTTGTTTTTTATTTTTGTCAATGTGCTCTTTAACTGTGTTGGCTAATATTTTTGGGAGGTTAGGACTGGCTTTTCTTTCTCATTAAATCCTTTTCAGTGGCTGGGGTTGTGGCTCAGCGGTAGAGTGCTCACCTAGCAAGTGCAGGGCCCTGGGTTTGATCCTCAGCACCACATAAAAATAAATAAATAAAGGTATTGTGTCCAATTACACTTTAAAAAAATATATATATATACATATTAAAAAAAATCCTTGGGGCTCGGGATGTGGCTCAAGTGGCAATGCGCTTGCCTGGCATGCGTGGGGCACTGGGTTCCATCCTCAACACCACATAAGAATAAAATAAAGATATTGTGTCCACCTAATTCTAAAAAATAAATATTTAAAAAAAATCTTTTTCAGGTTTATTAGGAATTTTACTTCATAAGCGTTTGGAAGCTTTTCATGGATGTCTTTTAATAATTTTTAAAAATTTACTATACATTAAGGTTACATAATTTATCATGTCAGGAGTTTAGAAAATCATATACTCAATTTGTGTAAGAAATTCTTCAGGGGCTGCAGTTGTGGCTCAGTGGTATAGTGCTTGCCTCGCACGCACGAGACCCTGGGTTCGATCCTCAGCGCTACATAAAAAATAAATAAGTGAAATAAAGGTATTGTGCCCAACTACAACTAAAAAAAATAAATTAAGAAAAAAATTCTTTAGCAGCTTATTGAACTAGGTCTGTTCAGCTTAGCTCACACAGTTATGTAGTGTTTAGCTAAATAACATAAATTAAACAATTGCGGTCTTGTTTGAGATATGACAACTGACTCTTGGCACAACTCATTTGTGGGAGCAAATGAGGAATGTTAAAATTTGAGGATATTAAAAAGGAATGTTCTATAGAGAAAAGAAACATCAGATAATCAGGAAGTTGGTTATGTTGGTTAGGTAAAAGAGCTTACATGTAATTGTGGTAGAAGAAACAGAGAAGCCATTCCCAAATAAATTTTTTAATCTAGTGCTGAGAGCAGAACTTTAGAATCTTATTCAGATTTATTAGATAGGTTCAGTTCATCTGCTATAAAGAACAAGTAAACACGGGATTCTTACTTTTATATTTCAGCATCCACAACTGAAAAGTAGAAATGTTTTGTCTCATTTATATGATCTGTAGGGAAAAGGAGTTTTAAAGAGCAAATATTGTACTAAGCAAGACTTTTTGTGTTTTAATGTCTTGGACTCTTAAGTTTTTCACAGGTTGGTGGATCATGATTGACGCAGCTGTGGTGTATCCAAAGCCAGAACAGTTGAACCATGCTTTTCACACATGTGGTGTATTTTCCACATTGGCTTTCTTCATGTAAGTATAAAGGTAATTCTCAATTCAAGATTATTTTTTAAAAAATATTTTCTTCTTAACGTTTACTGCTTTTTTTAATAACTTAAATTTTATTGATGGAGTGTTCTCTGACATGATAAATTTAAGTTTCCCTTTAATTAAGGTTTTTTTTTTAATTTTAATTTTAATTTTTTTATTGTTGGTCGTTCAAAACATTACATAGTTCTTAATACATCATATTTCACAGTTTGATTCAAGTGGGTTGTGAACTCCCAATTTAAACCCGGATACAGATTGTTGTATCACATCAGTTACCCTTCCATTGATTTACATATTGCCTTTCTAATGTCTGATGTATTCTGCTGTCTGTCCTGTTCTCTACTATCCCCCCTCCCCTCCCCTCTTCTCTCTCTACCCCCTCTACTGTAAATCATTTCTTCCACTTGTATTATCTTGTCTTACCCCTCCTTTCCTCTTATATGTAATTTTGTATAACCCTGAGGATCACCTTCCATTTCCATGCGATTTCCCTTCTCACTCCCTTTCCCTCCCACCTCTCATCCCTGTTTAATGT